ACAGTTTCATCCTAGAGAGGACGAGATCACGCTGCCCCTTGGAGGCAAGGATTCTGAGGCTTCATCTGACATACTTTGGACATGTTGCAAGGAGTTACCTGTCCTTGGAGAGGGATGTCATGCTTGGGAGGGTGGAGGGACAGCACAGGAGAGGAAGACCCTCAATGAGATGGATTGATTCAGTGACTGGGGTAATCGGGATGGGAGTGTCAGAGACAGTGTGATTGGCACAGGACAGAGCAGAGTTTAGAGCTGTTGTACACAGGGTCGCTATGAGTTGCAGACGACTTGACAGCACAAAACAACAACAACAATTCATGCCAGGTGTGGGAGAAGGATGGGCAATATCCTGCCATGTAATTAACTGCCTCTGAAAACCCACTGGAGAGTCAGCTATGGGTTGGTTCCAACTCTGCTGTACACAACCACCACCACCACCACCACCACCACCACCACCTACATGCATGACAGGTAGGTTGAACACCGTCATTACAGAAGTTGTTGTTAGGTGCCTTGATGTTAAGTATGACTTATAGCAACTCTATAAACAATGGATCTGAACTCTGTCCTTTTCTGTGCCATTCTCATCATCTCTGACACACTTGAGCCCATTGATGTAGTCACTGTGTTAATCTATTACTTTGACGGTCTCCCCTCTTTTCCTGATCCTCTCCCTTTTCAAGCATGATGTCTCTTTGTAAGGAATAATCTCTCCTAGCAATATGCCCAAAGTATGTGAGATAAAGCTTCCCATCCTTGTTTTGAAGGAGCATTCTGGCCGTAATTTTCCCAAGGCACATCTGTTTGTTCCTTTGGCAGTATAAAGAATATTCAGTACTCCCCAACACTGCAACTCACAGGAATCAGTCCTTCTGTTATCCTTACTCATTGTCCAGCTCTTAGGTGAATAGCAAGTGACTGAAAAGAGCATGGCCTAACTCAGGCATACCTCTATTAGTCTTCACACTAACATCATTGCTCCTCAGTACTTTCAAGAGGTCTCTAACAGCAGTGTAATATATCTCCTGACCGCCTGACTGCTGGTACCCTGGGTGTTGACTGTGAACCCATGTGAGATGAAATAATTGACAACATATCTATCTATCATGATGTTGATTCTTAGTCCAGTGGCAAGGAATTCCATTGAGATGCAATCCATATCGAAGGCCATAGGCTTTGATTTTCTGCTGCAAGTATTTAAAGTCCTTCTCACTTTCAGCGGCAAGGCTGTGTCACCCGTGTAACACGGGTTATTGATGAGTCTTCCTCAGATCCTGATGCCACATCCTTCTTCAGAGAGTCCAGCTTCTCAAATAATTTGCTCAGCACAAAGATTGAATAGTTATGGTAAAAGAATACAACTCTGACATAGCCTTTCTTGGTTTTAAACCATGCACTATTCCCATTGCTCTGTTCAGACAACAGCTTCTTGATCTACATATAAAGCTTAATAAAAACCTAATTAAGTGTTCTGGGATTCTTCTTATTTTAACTACAATTTGCCACTACCTACACAGTCAAATGCCTTTGCATAATCAATAAAACACAAATGGACAATCCCACAGTATTCTCTGCTTTCAGCCAGGATTCTTCTGATATCAGCAATGATATCCTTGGTGCCACAGCTTTTTTGAAACCCAGCTTGAACTTCTGGCAATTCTCTGTTGATGTACCATTCTAGCTAGTTTTGAATAATCTTTCGCAATATTTTGTTTGCATGTGATATTAATGATACTCCTGGATAATTTCCACGTTCCAGTACAGAATGAGAGATGATAAAAGAAAACCCTAATCTCAATATTTTGTTTTCCTGATGATGAAACTAAGGATACAAAAGCAAAGCCAAGGTCTTCCGGCTCATCAACAGAGCTTGGTTAGAGCGAAGGTTTCTCAAACACCTCGCCTGTATCTTTTCTACCAAAATTCATTTCTAAGACTACAAGGCAGAAGACTTGTTTTGCTCTCAAGTACTGATGCTCCAGCATACAACTGGGCACAGATGTCTCACTTGTACACTTCCTAGAAAGGTAACCTTTCAGGTATCATCATTTGAACAAGAGGGATACCCTTCCCAAATCTTACTTCAAAGACCTCCTCTAGCTTTATGCAGCAGTCATCGCAGCATCCTCCTCCTATCGTTCCTCGTGGCTCTTCTTTTAGTTAAAGTGTGTGTGTGTGTGTGTGTGTGTGTGTGTGTGTGTGTGTGTGTGTGTGAGAGGGGGGTTCCTCTCAGCTGTCTCTTTGGTCTTCTCTACCTTCTCATTGTGCTGCCAACCTAGTCATTTCACAATTAGAAGCCAGGAGAAGCAACTGAGAACAAAATCTAAATAAAGCAGCAGGGTTGGTTTTTTTGTTTTGTTGTTTTTTTTTTTGTGAGTGAACATATTGTTCAGAGTACATTTTCATTCAAATTTTGGCAATCTTCAGTCACAGTTGCACTGAGTTATGAGTTATGTTCTGGACAAGAGAACATATTTTCAGACTCAATCTTAATGGGTTTAGAAGAAGCCGTGTAGTGTACTGGGGTTATTAAAGTCAATGTTAGATGGATCTCGGTTGAAAGCAGAGAGTAAGAGGAATGTCTATCTGTGTTTTGTTGACTACACAAAGCTGTTTGGCTATGTGGATCACAACAAACTGTGAATGACTCAGAAGAACGGGAAGCCCAGAACACTTGACTGTGCTTATGTGAAACCTCTGCTTGGACCAAGAGGCAGTTGTCAGAAAAGAGCAAGGAGACACTGTATAGTTCAAAATCAGGAAGGGTGTATGCCAGTGATGTATCTCCTCTCCATGCCTTTTCAATCTATATGCAGAACATATCGTCTGGGAGGCTGGGCTTTATGAGGAGGAATGTGACAACAGGATTGGAGGAAGACTCATCAACAACCGTGTGTTATGCAGACAATACAACTCTGCTTGCTGAAACTGAGGAGGACCTAAAGTGTTTGATGCAGAAGATCAAGGACTGCAGTCTTCAATATGGATTAAAGCTCAATATCAAGAAAACAAAGATTTTCACCACTAGGCCGATTGGAAGCATCATGATAGTGAAGAGATTGGGATTGTTAATAGCTTTAGTTTGCTAGGCTCCACAATCAACATACTTGGTACCAGCAGCAAAGAAATTAAAAGATTAATTTCATTGGGAAAACCTGCTGCCAGAGACCTCTCCAAAGTACTGAAGAGCAACAATGTCTATCTGGAGAGTAAGGTGTGCCTGATCCAGGCCATGGTCTTTGCAATCACTTGTTATGCATCAGAAAGCTGGATAATGACTAGGGATGATAGAAGGAGAGTTGATGTCTTTGAGCTGTGGTGCTGGAGAAGAGTATTGAATTTAACATGGACCTCTAGGAGAATAAACAGGTTTGTCCTAGAGCGGGTGCAACCAGTCTGTTCTTTGGAGACAAAGATTCTGAAGCTTCGTCTGACATATTTTGGACATGTTACAAGGAAAGACCAGTCCTTGGAGAGGGACATGATGCTTGGAAGGGTGGAGGGACAGCACAGGAGAAGAAGACCCTTGATGACAAGGATGACTCAGTGATAGGAATAGTGGGGGTAGGTGTGTCAGAGATGATAAGGTTGGCTCAGTATAGAGCAGGGTTCAGAGCTGTTGTACATAGGGTCATTATGAGTCACAAGTGACTTGATGGCACATAACAACATCTTAAAGGAAGGAAATGGAGAAAAAAAAAGTACTTGTATTTGAGAAAGTCATTTAATCTTTCTAGAGCCTAGGTTTTTAAGTCACCAGATGAAGAGCTGAAAGAGGATCGGTGAACTAGAGGAAGACCTTCAACCAGATGAATTGATACAGTGACTGCAATAAGGGGTCAAGTGCAGCAGGTCTTGGGTATAGCACAGAATTAGGCAAGGTTTTGTTGTACAAAAGGTCACTGTGAGTCAGTTAACTCAGCAGCATCTTGCAACAACAACAAAAACATTCCTAATATGGTTTTTAATGCTGTAGTCTCCCGAATATGATCAAATATGAGTTCAATCCTCTGGCTTCCTCCAGTGATAGATCTATCAGCATCACCATTATTCATCACTGTTCATCATATCTATCACTGTACGTTATCTTTAGGCTCTGGAATAAAAACGGAATTATGTTCCAGGCATTGTGCTGTTGGTTAGCTCTGTCACCTTGGGAAAAGTTATTTAATACTTCAAAGTCTCAACTTCCTTACTATCAAATGAAGGTATGAATAATTTCCACCTTATGTATTTGTTATAAATAGTAAATGATTCTAATCAGCACCATCATTGGTTACACATGAGGCATAGAGCAAACCTCTCCTTTTTTACTATTACAGATAACAGAGGAGCTGATATTTCACTATGTGTAGGGAGCTCTGGAGGCCTAGTTGCAAGAAGCTGCCTGCTATCCCGAAGGCATGTAGTTCGAATCCACCAGCTGTTCCACAGGAGAAGGATGGGCAGTCTCCTCCTGTGTGATCAACTGCTTTTAAAACTTGCTGGAGGGTCAGCTATGGGTGGATAGTGACTCGACAATACACAACAACATGTGCACATATGTATACACACACACAGACACCCATACACATTTCTCCCTGAATTTCCCCAAGCCTGTCATTCCTCACCACTCTCACTCCCATGGCAACGTTTCAAATGCTCAGACTTACCCTGGGTGCACCGCGGCAGCTCAGGCACCCAGCTGTTGTTGATCTGGCACTGCACAGTGCTGGCCCCATTCATGACAAAGCCGGGCCGACACCTAAATCTCACAATCTCATTTAAGGGAAAGAACCTTCTGCCTCCGGGTTCCAGAACTCCATTTTCAACTTCTGGAGCTGTGCACTTTTCAGAAGCAATGCACTGAGGGGCAGGGCCGCTCCAAACACCAACTTGATCATCTCTGCTGGTACAGTATATTGATGATTTCCCCACAAGGTCAAACAACTTCTCCCCATATTGCTCAACATGACAATAGTAAGTTACCAATGTTCCAAATGGAAAAATCTTTCTGTTACTGTTGAGGAAGTATCCATTGTCTATGGTTGGAGGTGGCTCACAAGTGATGCCTGGAAAAAGGACATGGATATTAAACAGTGTCCACCCCCCCAAATGTGAGTTATTATAGTTTGAGTTTAAATGATAAATATAAAGAATGGAGTGACTTCTTAAGCTGTACCTACTTATAATTCTGCTACTTTCTTCCTATATTTATTAATAGACATATTTATAAATATTAAAAATTTCTGAATATGTAATTTAGGTCTATTGTTGTTTCTTATGTGCCATCGAGTCACTTGTGACTCATAGTGACTCTATATACAACAGCCCTGAACCCTGCTCTATCCTGTGTCAACCTTGTTGTCTCTGACACACCTACCCCCATCACCCTAGTCACTGAATCAATCCATCTTAATGAGGGTCTTCCTCTCCTGCACTATCACTCCATCCTCCCAAGCATGATGTCCCTCTCCAAGGACTGGTCCCTCCTTGCAACATGTACAAAATATGTCAGACGAAGCTTCAGAATCCTTGCCTCCAAGGAGCAGCCTGGTTTCACCCTCTCCAGGATGAACCTGTTTGTTCTCCTAACAGTCCATGATCTATTGTATACTTTTCTCCAGCACTACAACTCAAAGGCATCAATTCTCCTTCTATCATCCCTAGTCATTGTCTAGCTTTCTGATGCACAGCAAGATTGCAAAGACCATGGCCTAAATCAGACACACCTTAGTCTCCAGACTGACATCGTTGCTCTTTAGGACTTTGGAGAGGTCTCTGACAGCAGACTTTCCCAATGCAATTAATCTTTTATTTCCTAGCTGCTTGTACCAACGATGTTGATTGTGGAGCCTAGTAAACTAAAGCTATCAACAATCTCAGTCTCTTCACTGTCTATCATGATGCTTCCAATCAGCCCACAGTGAGAATCTTTGTTTTCTTGATGTTGAGCTTCAATCCATATTGAAGGCTGCAGTCCTTGACCCTCTGCAGCAAGTGCTTCAGGTCCTCCTCAGT